CCCCAAAACCCCAAAACCCCAAAACCCCAAAACCCCTTTCTTTCAAGAGAAATTGAATCAAGTATCAATAATAGTATCAAGCTGATTACTTTGGAATTGACACTGATTTGATATTTGCGAATTCGAGAAGACCCTCATGGGAGCATTCCCTTCCAATACCACTTTCCTTAACACCTCCGTTTGGTAGCTTAGGGTCACTAATGCAGAATGAATTAATCCCCATCATTCCTGTATCAATCTGAGATGCAACGCTCTTAGCTTTCTCAAGATCTTCAGTAAAAACAGCTCCTCCAAGACCATAATTAGAGTCATTTGCTATGATATATCAAAGAAAAACCTACCAAGTTTAACAGCATCTTCAAGGCTGGATACCTTATACAAGGATGCGACTGGACCAAACAATTCTTGTCTATAAATTGGGTTTTCTTCAGTAATGTTCTCAAGAACCATTGGATGGAAATAGTATCCTTCCTCAGCAACTGCTGGGTTCTCTAAACGACTCATATCTCCTAGAGCAACAGTAGCTCCTCCTTCAACAGCTGAGATAACTTGTTGTCTAAGATTCTCATGCAAATCATCTCTGGCAAGAGGTCCAATATTGGTAGATTCATCTAGTGGATCTCCAACTGTCTTAGAGGCAAAGTTATCAACGAGTTTGACTTTAAAGTCATCATACACATCTTCATGGACAATGAATCTCTTAGCATTGATGCATGCTTGCCCATTATTGATGAGTCTAGAGATACAGCCTTGTTGGGCTGCTTTATCTAAGTCAGCATCTTCAAGAACAATGAATGGGTCAGATCCTCCCAACTCAAGCAAAGATTTCTTGACATATTTGCCAGCAATAGATGCTATAATCTTTCCTGCTTTAGTACTACCTGTGAATCCGACTCCTTGCACTTTATGATTTGAGAGAATAAATTCTGTATCTTCTGTGTCAAAGTAGAGGAGTTTGAAAGCATCTCCAAGTCCAGAATCTACCATTGCTTGCTCGAGAAGCTCAGCAGATAACGAACAATTTGGTGCTGGCTTATACAGAACTGTATTTCCCAAAGCAAGCTGTGGGATAGCTGTTCTGAATGGCATCCAAAATGGGAAATTCCATGGACTAATGATCAGTATAGGGCCTGTAGCTTGATATTGAACATAAGAATTGCTAATAGCTGTCTCAATATGCTTTGTCTTCAATACTTCTTCAGTGTTCTCCTCATAGTACTTACAATGATCTGCACACTTCAATACCTCCGCTCTCGCTTGCACCAAAGTCTTCCCCATCTCATTCGCTAAACCACCAGTCACACCCTACTCCACCACACTAAAACTTACTCAGTGCTTCTGCATAAGTCTCTACATTCTTCTCAAGATTTTCCCTTAAGCTAGCTATTCTCTGCAGCCTCTCCTGCACTGACACATCCTTGTATTCCAAGTACGCGTCATAAGAAGCGTCGATTACTTCTTCAAGTTTTTCTCTGGTAAAGAAAGGAATGGCTTCACGAAGGATTTGACCATTTTTAGGATTTATTGACTTAAATAACATGGATTTTTATTAAATTTGGTCAAGATTTTTGAGATTTAAGGGGTTTTGGGGTTTTGGGGTTTTGGGG